GGTCCTTCATTAAACAAAAAAAATAGTTCAAAAAGAGGAAATGGAGATATAAATGATTAAGGCTTGATGATTAGATGCATAGAGTAGTTTTAGAAATTTTAAAATTCTATATTTTACAAAATGAATTATAAAATTCTTTTAAAAAATAATCAAAAAACAATTGTATAGTGTAGTCTAGTTGTATCTTCTCATATTTTTAAGTAAAAGAGGTTGAAAATTGAAATATCAATAAGAAATGAACGTGTATTATTTATTTGTTAGGATAAAGGAAAAGAATCACAGGGACATTGAGTCGCTGAACAGGATAGAATTGTTCACATGTGAACTGAACTTATATTGTTATAATAAAGATTCTAAATAAAACTGGAATTTTATTAACAATTACGAGATTTATCTTTTTCTTTTTTTAAAAAAAAAAAAAAAAAATTAGTTCACATGTGAATTGGACTTACGAAAGATTTGTTCTGTCATTTTTTGAGATCCACCCAAGTGATTAAAAGAAAAAAGGATTTGCACTGTCATTTTTTGAAATCCCACCACTTTTGTTAATTAGTTTGTTTGCTTTATTAAGATTATAAAATGTAAACCTGCACTAACTTGACTTCTAGTGAATTGTGAAAGTGAGAATCACAGAGCATTGAATCATGTAATCCGCTAAACAGGATTGTTCACACGTGAACTGAACCTATTTTGTTATACTAAAGATTCTAAATAAAACTGGAATTTTATTAACAATTATGAGATTTATCTTTTTTTTTAAAAAAAAATTAGTTCACATATGAACTGGACTTACCAAAGATTAGTTCTGTCATTTTTTGAGATCCACCCAAGTGATTTTAAAAAAAGGATTTGTTCTGACGAACAGTGTTTTGTTTTTATTTTTCGCGCAAATGCTGTTTGTTTGTGTGCTTGTCTTTAAGAAGCGAAACAAAAATGGTTAATTGTTTGTTTCTCTTTTTTTAATTGGTTCCCATGTGAGTTGCTGGGTTGGTGCGCCTTTTCAATGTTTTATCACGAGAAAACGTTAGAATAACTTATTAACTCGACCTTGTGAATACAGTATAATAATTGTGTAAAAAAATAAATCCAATATAATAATTTAACAGTCTCGTTAATACATAATGACATGTCAGGTGTTTTACGATGAGAACAGGTTTTGGTCCACAACAACGAATCCAATTGGTTGGTAAGATCTGCAAGAATAAAAAATAAAATCATACATGGCGACTGATATATATATTATTGGATTTGTCACATCAATATAGAGGAGTCAAACTTCCGACTTCAGCAAGACGATAGTGACTTATTAATCACTTGAGTTATGACTTATTTACTTGCGGCAACTAATAAAAGAATTTAGTCTCTTTTTATTGGGACATTAAAAATATAATATTTTAAGACAAATTAAATTATCTTTTTATTCCTTCAATAGGTCATTGTTCAGAAATTGGAAATTTCCTAACAATTTCTTTTGAATTTTGTAATTTGGGTGACAAGATTGTAATGTTGGATGATTGTTCTATCAATGATGTTGTTGCTTGCTTGCTTTGGTTAAAAAAATAAAAATGAAAATAATTGATTATTAAAACTATGATTGCAAGTAAATTTATTGGGTATCTCGATGAAATCACATTGTGTATATCTCCAACAAATGGTATAATATCTGCAAAAAAACTAACAGCAATATATTGATAGTTGAAAGTGTCGGTTTGGTGATTCAAAATTAAAATTAGTTTTTTTTTTTTTTTATTATTATTTTTTTGAGATACTTCTAATCTAGAGTTGTCATTGATATTGTAACTCTTTATAATCAAGTTATGAAGTTTTTGTTCAATAAAAAATTAGAATTTAAAGACAGTATAATATTCTCTCAAAAATGTTTGGGATAGAGATAGTAATAGAGATGGTTTGGGTAAAGATGTAGAGAGAGAAAGAAAATGGGAGTTGAGTTTGTGAGAGGAGAAAGTGTGATCAAATTTTAAAGTGAAGATAATTATTTTTGTTTGTGTACTTTTAGTGTTCTATTTATCAATTGTACCTGTAAAATCTTAACAGAAAGTAAAAAGTGATTATTACCAAACGGTATAGAATAGTATGTGAATGTGATTTTTTTCTTTTTTCTTCATAGGTAAAAAATAAAATTAACAAAAAGTGAGATTTGAAGTGCAAATTGGCTACAAAGATATACTCCATATGACTATGATATGGAGCACCCAATAGTTTATCAATTCCTGGGTATGTTTTTTGTGTTCAAACTGTGGCACAATCGTGATTGGCTTCGGATGCATAAATTATACTACAATGTGATTGATACTTAATTTATTTATTGAAATTTATTACCAATAAAATAAACAATTATACATGTGAATGTTAAAAAATAAAAAGATTCTCAGATGTGACAATTTGCAAATAAATGATGCTTTGTTTTTTAGTGTGTATTGTAAAATATTAACTTATCATTTATGTCGTGTCCAAGGAATTTCTGTAAGCTAATGTGACAATGAGTGAATGACACCTTCACTCCATGTGAGAGTAGAGGTGGCTTTCACATGAGGCTTCTTAGACAAACACTTCACAATTATAAAACTGCCAAAGTTCAAATTTACTAGGAGTATTATTTATTATAAAATAGTTCTTAAATAAGGCGCCGGGTGTCTTACTTGCATAATTATTTGAAATTGGTGTTCTAAAAAGAATATTTCTTTTCAAAAAGATTTTGAGATCGAAAGTAGTTAATTAGATACACCAAATCAGTTTATGTTGTGTTTGGAGACACCAAATCAGTCACTTTAAGAATAAATTTTAAATACCAAAACAATCCTTAAATGAAGTAAAATAACTCAAATAACCCAATTAATATGTCAAATAATTATTTCAACCAATTTTAATCGGACAAAAGCACGCTTGCTTATTATTTGTATAATTTAATTAGAATTATTAATTTGTAACATCAATGTAATTTGCTTAATCTAATAATATTTATTGAGAATAATTGTAAATGTATTTGTTGAAAATACTCTAAAGATATATCTGACAAATGACAACTAAAAATATTGACACTTAAAAAGATAATTGTTGTTAGCATTCTTATCATCTTGGTCTCGTAGTATTTTAATTGTTCCTATTTCTTGATATTCCCAAGTCTCACTGACGGAGATTGATATAGAATTTTAGCTATTTTTTTTGTTTCCTAAACATCATTTAACGAAAATGATTTACAAGGAATGTTGATATATTTTTATTAAATATGAGGACGCATTAGTGCAAAATTTTTCTTTTTCTCACTTGAATTCATATAAATGAATATTTTAAGTGTGTATATATAAATGTAAATGAAACAATGATATATTGTAATAAGAAATTAACTACTAATTGAAAATTTGAGTTTTTAAAACTAAGCTGAAAAAGTTCAAATTGAAAATTTCTACACGTTGAGTGGACACATGTTATATTTATTTCTAAACTGATAATAAACATGTTATATTAATTTCTAAACTCATAGTTATTATTAGGGTGAATAGTAAGTGTTTTGAAAAAAATTGGGGGGACCAATTAAAATTTCATATGAGTTTTGGGGCCATAAGTTAAATTCATTTAGAGAAAAAAAAAAAATTTGGAGGCACAAAGAAGTAATTTGGAAAATTTCGGGGGATGTGACCCATGTCATATTTGACACTTTAAGGCTTGATAGTGTTTAAAACTATCAAGACGTACACTTGATTGAGAAATAACATAGAGAAAGCATATTTGACACTTTAAGGTTTGATAGTGTCGATCACATGTGTGTGTTTACTTTATGTGTTTTTTTTTTTTTTTTTTGGTTTTATTCAAATGTGTTGTACTGGATCATCTCCCCAAAAGGACGTGTGATTGGAAATGCTTCATGAAATGTTCATATGGCCGCGTTAAAAAAAATAAATAAATAAAAATGGAAATTGTTATGATTCCATTTGCTATATATAGCCATGCCATCTCCCTTTTATTTCAAGACAACAAACAGTTCCTTGTTTTCCTAGTAGCTAGTGTTCGTTTTGTTCCCTTCATCTCTGTTCTAGACACCTCTTTCTCCCAGTTTTTTATTGTTCGTCTTCTTCAACTTCTTTTTTGGTATGTATGTATATATTTCCCATCTTTTGTCTATTAATTACGTCTGCAACCTTTTTCATTTCTACTTTTGTTTTGTTTGATATATCCTCAAAAATTTACATATAGCAGCAATTTGACAGTCTAAGTAATTGTTCTTTCATATTCACGTATCAAGATAAAAAGAAAATAACTTCTCCACGTACTATTCTCGAGTGTCATTTTCTAAAACGTTAGCAAGCAAGAAGCTTCAAATGATTATTATTTGATTAAACTTATGGAGACACACCTCGAATAAATACGTAGTGATCGAGTGTAGCTAGTGACTCACTTACCAAACCAATCCCTTCTTCACCATCTCCTAGCAGCCATGCGCATTCCTGGTTTCTTCTCTGGCATTCATTTGAGCTTGTTGATGTTCCCGCCTCCGTTCTGTTGTTATTTAATGGTGTCTGATATAGGACCTGACTTAAGCCTCTCTTTTGGACCCAATTTTTTATTTTTTATTTTTTATTTTTTTATTTTTATTTTTTTTCTCTTCTGGACTGGATCTATTGCCTTTGGGCCTTGGGTATGCCCCAAGTTTTCGTTAATTATTTATTTTTTCTTCATGCATTTATTTATGTACCAAAATAATAATAATAATAATAATAAGGTAAAGGGTTTGGCCTTTGGGCCTTGGGCATGACCCAATTAATTTCATTTTCTTTCTACCCATGCACATTTTTAAATACTTCATTCTCGATTCCATTGGTTCATTAACTAAGGATCCATGTTCCTTAGCTAACAATTATGCCTTTCTACTTTTTCTTCAATTGCATACTTACACACATGCATATAAAACATATATATCACCTTTTGATCTAATGTCACTTTCTCGTTCAAACTTGAAGTATTTCACTTGGTGTCTATACTCCATGGCGAATGAGGAATCTGTTGCTTTGGGGCCATATGGTGGTTCAGGAGGGGAAAAATGGGATGATGGAACCTACAATACCATAAGGGAATTAGTTATATACTCCGGAGAGGAAATTTATTCCATCCAAGTTGTCTATGATGATATTGAAGGAAAGCCAGTATCGAAATTAAGGCATGGTGGCAACGGCGGATTTCCAAATATGGTAATATACATCAAGCAATTTGATTTTCAAATCTAAGACTCATGCACAAATTTATATGATTCTATATTTTGTGAAAGCTAGCTAAACAACATAACATCTCACTATTTAAACAAATCTAATAATTAACCAACATTAGCTATATAAGTTTCAAATCTTCATGTGACATTCACATCACACTAATGAAAGTTATATTAATTAGTCAAATCCTCTTTCAGTTCTTGTGGCATAAACGTTAGGAAATTGGAAACCTAATCAAATTTTCCCTGCATCTCTTCACACTAAAATAATGTACTTAAACATCATTACCATTTCAAATTAATAATTAATTGTTGCTATTAAAAATTTCTTTCTTTCTTTTTTTTTTTTTCACTCTACAATAATTTATTTATTTATTTATTTTTTCACTTATTGCTACTTTAATTGATCATTTTAATTGTTGAACATACATGTTGATGTACTATCTTAAAGACAATATCCAAATCATATCCAAATAAAACTGGAACGGAACCTATATATTGGGGGCACACCTGCTCCCCGGCCCCGGCCCCGGCCAATATATTGTATATTTCTATCCCTTTTTTTTTTATTTTTTTTTTATACATATATATGAGAAAATTTTGATATTGCCTTCCTAAAATTTTCAATTGCTAAAAATATCTCTTAATTGTTTATTCTTTTCTCTTTTAGTAGCCAAGTTCCTTTGATTCCCTTTCAAATTTCTCTCATTTTTTTTTTTTCTTTTCTCTTTTACTAGAAAGAAAAGTTATGATCCCCTTCTACAATCAAACTTTTTTTTTTTTTTTTCCTTTCAAATTTCTCTCAATTTATTTTTTTCTTAAAATTCTTGTTTTTGCACCCATGTATGTATGATTACCTTTTTTTTATTTTTTTATTATCATAATTTTATGAACTCAATTTATACATTTTATAAAATTGATTTTTCTTTACTGGACATTTTTTTTCCGCGAATAATGACATGCTATTAGAATCTTGACTAATGCACCGTTACTGCACTTTTAGATGTCATGTTTATTGATTAAAAAAAATTATACTCTATCATGTTGAATATCTCTTATTTTTTATTTATTTTATTTTTTCCTGTTTTTGATTTTTCGGTGTTTGTCGTAATACTTAAGTTTATGCTTGTTAATTGAAATCAAATAGGTGAAATTAGACTATCCTACCGAGTACCTCGTTTCGATATCAGGGTGCCACAGTTCCGTATCTCCTGTTGTGAACTCTCTTACATTCCAAAGCAATATAAAACAATATGGACCATATGGTAAGGAAGGGGGAACTCGTTTTGAATCCCGGTTAGATTCTGGCAAGATTGTTGGATTCTTTGGAAATAAGGGTAATGTTTTGGATTCGATTGGGGTATACATTAAGCCAATCCAAGCTGCGATACCTGTGGGTCCATTTGGAACTACAGGTGGACAACAGTGGGATGACAAAACCTATAGTACGATAAGGAAATTAATTATATACTCCGGATGGGTAATTGATTCCATCCAAGTTATCTACGACGATTTTGAAGGAAAACCAGTATCTGGACAAAAACATGGTGGTGATGGCGGACAACTAAGCACGGTAATATATTTATGCTTTTGCAATTTGACTTTCAAATCTCTAACTCATGCGGAAATTTATTTGATTATACATTTGTCATGCCTATCATGTTTTGTGAAAGATAGCTAGCTAGACAATTTAATATCTCACTATTTCATTACAGACTATATATCCTACGTTATATATATATATATATAAGGAAGAAAGAGAAAAAAGAGAAGAAAAAGATTTTAATTCTTGAGCTTTTATTTATGCAAATATCAATGCGGTAAATGCATACTTACCCCCCTTTTTTTTACCAATATAACTTATGTAGGTCACACTAGAGTATCCAGATGAGTTTTTGGTTTCAATTTGGGGGTACTATGGACAAGTAGGTACCATGGTAGCTATTCGGTCACTTGGATTTCAAAGCAACAAAAAAACGTATGGACCATTTGGTGTGGAGGATGGCGAGAAATTTGAAATCGCATCCATTGATGGCAAGATTATTGGATTCCACGGAAGGTCTCATGATTATCTTACTGCAATTGGAGCACATTTTGACAAGTGAAGATAAAATTGAGACAATGATCATGAGCCACCTTTAACTAGTCTTTTAATCATTAATAATTTAGCTGTACTTGCATTTGATGCAGTTATAATAAGGGATGCTTTGTGTTGTCCTTAAAACTTATTGAAAGTGGTTAAGGCAATACAATTTGGATCAGTGTGTGTTTTTGTGTCATTTGAAGTAATTTTCATGTTTTCTCATGTGCTAAGCCATAAAGTTTGGGTTGGTTGTTGTACTTGCAAAAGAAGAATCTTGTTGGTTGTAATAAAATTTATGTTCTCTATTTGGTTTACATATATGGCTTTCCCCCCCTAAATGTTTAAATAACATTGAATCTATTTTGTAGATGACTATCTAGTATAAAAAAATTTCTGCTTTATCCAAGTTTTCGAACTCTGTTTCTAGTCATAATATATTGTTCATACCTCAAAGGGAAAAATATATTTAATAATATTATTTTTTAAGTAATTTATGATTTTTGATAAAGTTGTAAACAAAACTTTAAGAGAGAACTTTCAAATTACAGAGATAATTAACTACAACATACTATTTAAAAAAAATTGAAAGAGTCTATCAAAGATTAAAGTCTCAAGTTTCACTTGATTTCATAAAGTGGGACCACTTCGTCAATGAACTCAATTTATAACCGTTCAAGATAATCATTGAAATACAAGTGCATGGACCAAATAGTCAAACACTGTAAAATTATAAATAAACAAAAAAAAAAAAGAAAAAAAAAAAAAAGGAAGGTGAAACTCTAATTTAATAAGTCTCCTTTTAATTTATAGTGGTCCATGCAATGAGATGAAATTAAGTAGAGTTATTAAATAAATTTATAATGTGTATCATGAAAAATATGTCATGAGAAGTATCATTTTCTAATCAAATCTATTATAGGTCTTAACCGGTTTTGAACATTTCATTTTATATTGATGAATTATTAACTGTGAAAAAAGAGAGGCTGATTGAGGAGCACTGGAGCCAGCTATAAAAACCTAGAAAAGGCTTGGTACTGTAACTTAAGCCAATATATTATGTACTCTACGGAGCCTAGTTAATTTGTGCACATAATTAGAAGATTATCCATCAAGAATAGATAACTGCAGAAAGAGGAAATATCACTCGCTACTCTCTCATCTCCATGAATTCACAATACATAATGGGCCAGGGGGCCAAATTTTTTGAAAAAAAAAAAATAATATAATATGGTCCATAAAAAAGGCATTATTCGTAACTTTGCCTCTCCAAATCAAACTCTTTCATTGGACCTTTTGGAACTATAAAATTCTTTCATTGTGCCTTTCGAAAATGCAAACAAATAACTAATATAATATTTCACTGGGACAGTACCCATGGGACTTGGATCCTCTCCGGGGTGTTGGAGAGGTCCTGCACTCCACATTTTTTTATAATTTATGTGCTTCTATAAACTGTTTGTGGATATATAGATTCATCAAGCAATTTATTTTTGTTATTATTTTAAATAATAATAATAATAAGTATTATTATTATTATTATTATTATTCTTGTTGTTATTGTTATTGTTATTGTTATAAGTATATGGATCCATCAAGTAACTAATTAAGTAATTTATCTTTATTTTTATTTTTATTTTTATTTATTATTATTATTACTATTACCATTACTAGTAATATTATAAATCTTATTATTAGTTATTATTATTCTTATTGTTATTATTATTAATCTTATTATTAATTCGCAGATGTTCGATCTAAAAGTGATTCACATATCTTGCAACTAAGCAAATAATATTCTTTTATAATTTATGAGCTTCCATAAAGTGATTTTCAGCGTTTCTCTACTATCATGTCTCATCAAGAGTCTCGGATTTGGATTATTTAATGGATGATTTATTTTATTGAATTATTTAATGAAGAATTTATTATTTAGTTTTCTTTTCAGCTTACTTATTTATTCTTATTATCTTTTATATCTCTCAATTTTTGAACGTGGATTTGATCAACCCATGACTTTAGAATCGAAGGGTATAATAATATGCAAAACAATTGTCAAGAGTTTGACCTTAGTTAGTGTTATTCTGCCTATGTCAAAAAAAATAAAAAATTCAACTCCGGTACGCATCTTATAGTTATGGACCGATCTGAAATTTCACATTCTATTGGGACTATCTCAGAGGGATGTTCAAAGTATATCATTTGGGTCCAAGCTATGAACAACTTCCTCAAAGCTCAGTGTTTGGTAATTCCAAATTTGTTTCAATTTGATTATAGCTAAATAGTAGGATTTTCGATTGTTAAAAAATATCATTTATAATCACTTACCCGATTTTCTTTTGGCTTTTTTTTGGAGTAGAATATTGTGTTCGTTGGTTTGACGATAACAATATACGGAGTACATAATTGTAAATTAATTTTAGTTTTTGTTGATGAAATTTTTTTGAAGTACTAAACCGTTGTTTGCACGACAGAAGGCACCAAGACAAAGTTCAGCAATTCATGGTTTCTAATATCATGAGAGAGAAACGTGAAAGAGAAAGATGAGAGAGCGAAGTGAGAGAGAAGACTAGATTGGAATTCTAAGCTAGAGTCCTAATTTTAACGGATAAGGGTAAATATATATATATATATATATATATATATATATATAAAAGGTAAGGTTTTTGTGATATGTGGACTTTTTTATAATTTCAGTATAGAAAAAAACAAGAAATTGGAACGACTAAGGATATTAGTGGAGCGTAAATATCAGTTCTCTAATTTTATTGAGAATAATTTAAAATAAATTTTTTTTACAGGTATTTGTTTGAATTTTTTTGGTTAAGTTAAAAAAATAAATATTCAACCCAAACATAAATCGCTACTGTCTATCTGATTCTAAAATTAAAATTAAAAGACACGGCACGAATAGAAATATTTTGAATGTTGCATTTTGAGTTGGAGTTCCTTGGATGATTAAATTAAATTAATGTTGTATTTTGACATTTTGAATGACGCATTTTGATGTTGCATCTTTTCACATGAATTAAATTATTTTAATTAAAAATACATATTCTTTAATGTTTGTTCACTAAAAACATTGGATATGTTTACAAGAATATTCTAATGGGATAATCTATTCTCAACTTGAGATGGAATATGTTGAATCTGAAGACTGTCGGCAAAGTGTTCACACGTGAATTGGGATGGTGCTGGCTTTTGAAAATGCTTCTGCCACACATCCATTATCGTGGATGATTGCTGAAAACAAAATCAGGGACCATGCTGTCACGGACAAACCACCCATAAATGGGTTTATATATCTGCAAATGTTTTTTTCGAAAAAAAAAAAAAAAAATTCTACAAATGCCACGTTGTGTTGTTTTTAGTGGGTGACTTTGTCCACTAAAAAAATTAGGACTTTTCACAGTTATAGATATATCCTTTTTGGTAATTTGTCCAAACATGAATCATTCGTTCGCTTTCGAAAAATGATTTTGGGTCACATGTATTGATAATTGATGGAAAAAAATCAGCTAGCTTTTTGTATTGGACCATCCGAAAAATGGCTTTATGTACAGCTCTTACATCCTCTTTTTTTTTTTTTTTTTTGGCCACACAAAATTGATTAGCTGAATGCTACAAAAGTAACAAAAGGAATACGCTTGTTGGCGTATATGATAGTCCAAATGCCAAGGAAATCGAATATCTTGCTCACTTGCCATACTTTTTCAATAAATAAAATTTCCCACTAAAATTTCATAAAAGTCACTTATCTCTCTCTCTCTCTCTCTCTCTCTGTATATATATATATAATCGAAATGTATTTGGTCCAATGGTATAACCTCTCTATTTTCAAAGAAGAGAGAAGGAGTTTGAGTCTGAGTGAGAGGAGAAAGTGTGTGCAAGTGTGTTTCTTGCAAAATATTGGTGTACACAAACATAACTTTGTATACAGAGAGTATGCGGAGATGCTACGTTGTGCCAAGGCCTCCACTCTTATTATATATATCTTTTTTAAGAAGACATTATATATATATATATATATATATATATATATATATATATATCTCCTTCCTTGTTGGTAAGGTTGGGTTTGTGGTTCAAAATTGTATAAATTAGTTTCCTTTTCTATTTTGGAAGATGAAATTTGTGAAAGAAATGTGTCTATGTTTCTATTTTTAGAGTTGAGATTGATTTGGTAACTCTTGTAAGTAAGTGGTATAATTCTTGTCCAAAAAGAAATTGAGTTTTGAAGATTTTATAAATAGAGATGGGTTTGGATAGAGAGAGGTAGAAAGAGAAAATGAATAATTGTAGAGAGATAAAAAGTGACTTGAATTTGTGAGACGAAAAAAAAAATGGTGTAATCTAAATTTGAAGTAAAGATAGTCATTTTTTGCCCGTGGATATAGGCAATTTGTCTATCCAAATAAATCTCGTTTTGCTTGTTTGTGTGCTTTTATCAGTTCTATTTGCCAATTGTGTGTGTGAAATCATAATAAGTGGTATCAGAGCTATGGTGGCAACTATAACAGAAGGAAAGTACGTGGTCTAAAAATTTGACAGAAGAAAGAACTTCAATCTTTGACAAATTCGGATACGATATTTACTGATTCAGCAAGGGCTAAGAGAAGCTTTGGGTAAGAAACCGGAAAAGATGGAAGATGCAGATTGGAAGAAGATCAACTCGAAGGCAATGAATGCGATTCGATTGACGTTGGCTGATGATATTGTGTATAATGCGACAGAAGAAGATTCAATAGCATATATGTGGAAGAAGTTGGAAAATCTGTATATAGGAAAGAATCTCACCAACCGTTTAGTCTTAAAGCAATAGTTGTATTCCTTTAGGAGAAAAAAAGGGGTAAGCATACAAGAACATCTTGGTGAGTTTTACAAAATTATTTGTGATTTATCCAATGTTGATGTCAAGTTAAGTGATAATGATAAAACAATTATTTTGTTAACATTAGTACATTCCACTCATAAGAATTTATTCAATACTTTGCTTTATCGAAGAGATACCATCTCAGTGAAACAAGTTATTCAATACTATGTTTGTTTTTAGGTTCCCGCACACCTCATTTTGTTCTGAACTTGTATAGAATTGCAATATTATGGCTGAAAGTCGTTTGCCTGCACAAATCAAATGATATTTTGGTTTCAGTCTATATAATTCCACCCATAATGTTCTCATTGGAATGACTACCAATCTTTTGAAATTCATCATCATATCAACAAGTATAAAATAAAGTAACTTACAGGTTAAATTGATCTATCTTTCGAAGTATCTCATTCTAATATTTGTTAACGTGATTCACCGTGAGTAGCAAGTTGTGACCATATTGATATTTGACTTTAATAATAATAATTTTGTAGAACAAGAATACTTGTAAAGTAAGACTTTCCCAAATTATTCACTGATAAATAGAGGTGATCATTGTAATCAAAATCAAGAGAAATTATAATGAAATTTAGGCTGAACCAAGTATAATATTTTTTCAATAAATTATATATATATATATTGGTAAATTGAACCACATATATTGTCATTTCTTGTTTAATTTTTTTTCTTTAATTTTTATATTTTAACAATATTAGGGGTACTATTGGTACTATAACAAGTAAGGTGTGACGACCTTGTGGGTGGGTGTGCCGTGGGCGGGTGCAAGGCGCTGGCAGATTACCACACTGGGCGAGTTACGGGTGGACAATCCCACATCGCCTGAGTAAGAGAAATGTGAAATTCTTATATGTCATGGAGTGGGTCGTTACAAATGGTATGAGAGTCTGACTTAGTCGGAAGTGTGGCTAACGAGGGCGTTGGGCCCTAAAGAGGGGTAATTGTGGCGACCTTGTGGATGAATGCGAGGCACTGACAGACTTCCTCACTAGGCAAGTTACAGGTGCACAATCCCACATCGCTTGACCGGGTAAGAGAATGGTGAAGTACTTATATATAGATGTGTCATTGCAATTGATATAAAACCTTTTATGATAAAACTTAAGAGCAAAATCTTACAGACTGAGATTCAAAATAGACAATATTATATCATGCGGTGAAATGAGTCCTTACACAAGGTGGTGGGGTGGTGGTTATATACTCGATAATACGAGCTCATGTGGCATTCAGTTGTTGTCATTATATTTTTAATTAATTTCTTAGAGAGGGGATACAAATGCTTTCCACGTTTTGTTGCTTTGTCCATTAAGAAATTTGGATTTTTACAATTATGGGGTCGAACCTTTGTTCAAACATGACCACAAATAGCTTACCCAATGCCGGGTCCATGCAATAACTACAATGAGAATTCGGGCTCATTTCATCATCATCATTAAGAAATTAATTTGGATGTATGCAATACTCAGGCTTTATATTTTTCCATCTTTTCACGTGAATCAAACTCCTTAAGTTAATTTGGCTAAGAAATTTGGAGCATCCACACTTGTATTTCTCTAATTGTTCACTTGAACTACTTGTATTTCTCTAATTGTTCACTTGAATCAAATTGACTCGTCTTTCTCAACTTGAGAATATTTTCTCCATATTTGGAATTTGGAATATGGGGATACAAATACTTTTGATGGCTTGCTGGTTTTGCCCAGCAAGAAATTTGTCCTTTTGTAATTGTTCACACATCAATTTGGATGGTTTCGTATCCTTTACTGGCTTTTGAAAAATGGTTTTTTGGACATATATAGTTCATTATTGATGGAAAATAATCCGGAGAAGACAATTAAGCTACTTTTTCGAATTGGCATGGGAGGGACCATAGTCACGGTTTACAGCACCCGGACTATCCAGAATGGGTTTATGTAAAACTTTTTTTAGAGTGTGTTTGATTTAGTTTTAGGGAGGTGATAGTGGCCCTCCACCAATATCCTTGAGGGCTCCAATCTCTATTTTTCTTACAATAAAATTACAAAATATTCAGCTTTTTATATTTTTTATTTCATTTAAAGGCATTTAATTTAATTCTAAGTACTATTATTCTTTCGTCTATCATTTAGGGTATTCAGTTTAATCCTAATTACTTTTTATTCTTTCCTTTTTAGGTTTTGTGTCACAATCACTTTTTATGTTGAATTTTGTAGATTCACGAGCTCTTCTGTAATTTACTTAATGATTGATAACCTTGTCATATCAAGTAACTATTTTTTGTTGTGTTTTTTGTGGAAGGCTCACTGTTTGGTAATTCTAAATTTGTTTAAAATTGATTATAACTAAATAATAGGATTTTCAATTGTTGAAAAATATAATGTATAATCACTTAATCGATTTTCTTTCTTGTTTTATTTTGGAGAAGAATATTGTGTTTGTTGGTTTGACGATATCAATATACATAATTTTAAATAATTTTAGTTTTTGTTGAAGAAATTTTTTTTTAAGTACTAAAACTCTGTTTTCATGACAGAAGGCACCACGACAAAGGTCAGCAATTCATGGTTTCTAATGTTGTTATCCTGTGAGAGAGAAACACGTGAGAGACAAGGGTAAATATGGAAACTCATTTTTCCATATTTACCCTAATTTTAATAGATCAGGGTAAATATGAAAAAATATATATATAAAAAAGTTAGTTTCTTGTCATATGTGGACTCTTTTGTAATTTCAGTATATAAAAAAATAAGTATAAAAGGGGCAAAAGTGCAAAAAAAAACCCCATGTACTATTACAAAAGTGAAAAATAACCCCCTTTCCTACCTCGGGTTACAAATCAACTCCTCATTAATACAAATCATTGCAAAAAGGCACCTCTTCATTAACACGCCGCATATTTTCTTGTAATGCCCAAATTACCCTTTTAAATGACTATTATACCCCCGACAAAAGTGCAAAAAACAGTCAACTATCAAGAAAGTGAAAAATAATCCCTGAACTATCTGGGTTGCTAATCAAACCTCAAACTATACAATTTATTTTTGTTATTATTTTAAATTATTATTAATTTTATTATTTGAACAGTTTTCTTTTATAATTTATGAGCTTCCATAAACTGTTTGTCGGTATAAAGATCCATCAAACAATTTATTTTTATTTTTATTTTAAATAATAATAATCATAACCATTATTATTATTAGTATTATTACTAACGGGCCAGTGATCTAACAGTATCAATCTCTTACTCTCTAAAAAGAGGTCAGGGGTTCAAGTCTCAGAAGAGACATGTGTATGTGAGTACCTAGGAAAATAAAATAATTATTTTGATAATTTACGAGCTTGTAAAAATTGTTTATAGGTACGTATATGGATCCATTAAACCAACTAGGACCAAAAAAAAATATTATTTTGATAATTTATAAGCTTGAAAAAATTGTTATTTTGATAATTTATGAGCTTGCAAAAATTGTTTATAGGTAACGTATATGGATCCACCAAGCAACTAATTAATTATTTTATTTTTGTTTTAATCTTAAATTATTATTGTTACTACTACCACTACTAGTACTATTATTATTATTAGTTATTATTATTTTATTGTTATTATTATTATTCTTATTGTTAATTCGTAGAGGTTCTAAAAGTGATTCACATATCTTTCAACTAAGTAATTTATTTTTGTTATTTTACTATTATTATTATTATTATTATTATTATTACTAGTACTAGTACTAAAATTATTAGTTATTATTAATATTATTATTATGCAAAATTGCAAAAAAAAAAAAAAAAAAAAAAAAAAAAAAAAAAAAAAAAAAAAAAATCTTCTAAACTATTGATTAGTTGGAAGATGGCCCATGAAGAGTATTATGGGTATTGTTCATTTTTTATATTTTATAACTTTTATATAAATTAATAAGAGGGTGTATTTTGGTAATTTTAACCATCGGGGCACCGAAAAATGTGGTCCAGTGATCGAGAGGGTCATTTCTGCAACGCTTTGTATAGATGAAGGGTTGATTTGCAATCCAAAATAGTCTAGGAGGTTATTTTTCACTTTTGTAATAGTACAGGGATTTTTTTTGCACTTTTGCCTATAAAAAAATAAAATAAAAAATAATTGTTGGTGCGGCAATATCAAAAAACTTGTTCAATAATTTTAAATTAAAAAAACTTTATAGATACTTGTTTGAATTTTATTTTTTTGTTAAGTTAAAAAAATAAATATTTTTGGATAAAAAATGTCTCTTATAATTTTTATGAAACAAAATTTTTAATTTTTTTTAATTCTCTAAACCAAGTAGACTTGATTCAAATTTGTTTAACTATCGCAAACGCGTTCATAGTTCAACGGTTGGGTTGCTCCCCGTTGTTTGGAGTTTGTTTTCGAACCTTCGCATCTCTAACTTATATTCTAACATTCTTAACCTGAATATATATATATATATATATATATATATATATATATATATATATATATATATATATATTTGTTTAACCATCAAATCTAAGATTCAAGCTACTTTTGTCACATCACTAAAGATTTTAATAATATCAACTCAAGTGAAGTTGCATTTAACCACCACTTGAAAATATCCCCAAAACGTACCTCCCCAACATTGAAATAATAATAATAATAAATAAATAAATAATAAAAGAGGTAAAATTTACTCAACCACATCAAACATATCAGCTAGCTTCTTGTATAAGACCATCCAAAAAAATGGCTTATGTACAGCTCTTACATCCATATTTTTTTTGCCACACAAAATTGACTAGCTAAATGCTACAAAAGGAATACACTTGTTGGCATATATGATGCTCCAAATGTCAAATGTCAAGGAAATCAAATATCTTGCTCACTTGCCATACGTTTGCAATAAATAAATTTCCCAATAAGGTTTTATAAAAGTTACTTATATATCTATCTATCTATATATATATATATATAATTGAAAAGTATTTAGTCTAATGGTATAACCTTCCATCTTCAAGAAGAAGGAAGGAGTTCGAGTACAAGCTCGAGTGTGAATAAAAAATATGTGCAAGTGTGTTTCTTGCAAAATATTCGTGTACTCAAACATAATGTTATACTCCGTATATGAAGAGTATACAGAGATGTTGTTTTTTGTTTCAATAGAGCAATTCTACTGTTGTATCAAAACTACCACCCTTATTATATATATATATATCTTTTTTGAGAAGACATTGTATATATCTTGGGTAGAGAGTTCAAGAACGGTGTTTACAACAACATGGACCGATCAATCTTAAAGATGGAAAGGTCACGCTCCCCTGAGAAGTTGGGAAAATTAGGCCCTACTTAGAATGGTACTCCCAAAACAGAAAACTGTTTTGGGAGTAACAGAAAACAGTTCTTTTTTATTTTGTCTGCTTGGAATTATTTTATAAAAACAGTTTTTTCAAAATAGAGTTCTCAAAGTAGCAGTTTCCTAAGAACAGCTCAGAGTTGTTTTTGCTGTTTTAGAGAACATGCGGAGAACATTATTCTCCACTTAAAAAAGCGGTCCGTACATTTAATAACCTATATCGTTTATAACAGTTTTGCGCCTCCTCTCTGCAACCCATCTTCTCTCTCTTAAACCTCTCTGCAACGACATCTTCTTTCTCTTCAACCTCTCCACAACTAAGAGAAGGTGGATCTGACTCTTGATAGATTGTTATTTACACAAAGAGAAGGGTGGATCTAGTTCGTCAAGCTCTCTTTCTTCAGGTAATCCTTCAATCTCTCTCTCTCAGTCTCTCTTTGCATTTGTATTGGTATTTTGTGGATTAAAATTTCTGGAACCTTCTTTCAGTTTTTATCCATTATATTAATTGCTTTTGTGATTATTGAGAAGCTTTTGTTTTAATTTTATTTCTAATTTGTTTTGGGAAATATTGATGGATTTTGTTGGTTGTGTGAGTTTTGTTGTGGATTTCATTTTCAGTTTAGGGATTTAGGGTTTTCAGTTTAGGGATTTGGTTTTCAATTTAGGGATTTGGAGGAAAGAGAGAGGAGACAACTTTATGTTAAAAGCTTGAGGTATTGCAAAAAATTATTTTGATGGAGTTAACCATCAACTAACGGATTTGGCCAACTTCTTGTTTTTGTTGAAATTTCAAGATTGATTAAAATGATTTTTTAATTGATTGGTATGATACCAGAGACGGTACCGGGTGTTGATTGGAATAGGCTAGACTTCTGTGCCCAGACATCATTGGTACTATTGGACATTCTTTGACTCTATGGGCACGTTTGAGGGTCTCAACCTGGCCCAGCACCATAAGAACAGGGATTTGAAATCTACAATTAATAACATCTCTCTGTTTCCATTGCGGGTCTGCCAATAAATAGCTTTAGGCTAACAAACCAACAAGATGATTGAGTGAGGAAACAACTTTTCTCCAAATTTACATAAGAAATGGTTAAATGAGTTCTTCAATTGTAACAAGTAACCTAGGGAGGCTTGGATAAGAACTCCAAAAAAAGTGCAGCAGTATAATGATTTTCATTGCATAAAATTACTAGGCAAGTATAATGATTTGTCGACATTTTAAGCTCGTATTGAGAGCAATATGTCGCCTTGGGAAATTCCTCATATGTCCACCACAAAGCAATGATGTGCCTTCTCATATACTTCATAATCCAAAATACTATCATTGGTTTAAGAATTGCATTGGAGCAATTGATGGAACACATATAAGTGCTTTTGTACCTGCCAGCAAATAAACTCCTTATAAAGGAAGAAAGTCTATAGTGACACAAAATGTTATGCGTGCTTGCTCATTTGATATGCTATTTACTTTCGTTTACGCGAGTTGGGAGGGAACGACAAATGACTCAAGAGTTTTTATTGATGCAATTACTAGAGCTGCTGCACGATTCCGGATACCAGCAGATGGTATTATTATTACTTTTGTCTTTTTAATATTAATAATAGCATGCTACTAACCCTAATAAAATTTAAATAATTTTTTGCAGGGAAATACTATGTAGTTGATTCTGGTTACCCATGCACAAAATCATTTCTGCCTCCATATCATGGTCAAAGATATCATCTACAAGATTATAAGGGGTAATAATCGGTAACTGCGTGGTGCAAAAGAATTGTTTTACTATCGGCATTCATCACTTCGCAATGTCATTGAACGTTGTTTTGGAGTACTAAAGGCTTGTTTTCCCATTTTAAAGCTTATGCCTTGCTATAAGTTGGTTAGACAACGACTCATAATAACTGCTTGTTGCACGATTCACAATTTCATTCGTCAAAATATATTAGATGATCGTTTTTTTATGGAATATGGGGAAAAAGATATTAATGTCACTGATGGGGGGAATGGTAACAGTACTAATGTTGGTGTATTGAATGCACTTAATTTATCTAATGATGGTACAGCACAAATGGGAGCCCTTAGAAATCATCTGACAAATCAAATGTGGGCATCATTCAGAAGCAATGATAGATGAAATGAATTTTATAATTCTCCAATGTTTTGCTTTTATTACCTATTTGTGTAATTCTCTAATATTTTGTTTTGGTTATGTATGATTAAAATTAATGTTTGTACAACTAAAAGTGCATATGACACTTGAAGTAATTAATGTAACTCTTTTATTGTTTTTCAATTTAGTCAAATTTTAAGTAAACTTGATATATTGTATTTGTGCAACTTTTATTAAGTATACTTGTTAAAATGAATTCACCTCCAACACTTATATATATATATATATATATATATATATATATATATATATATTTACATTAATAGTTAATATCATAAATTAAAGAAATAAAAGACTGATGTACAATAATTTATTTATTTATTTTTTTAGTTCAGAAAACTATTTTAAAAAACTTTACAGTCAAGTAGTTTTATGAGTTTTTGTTTTTCGGAAACTGTTTTGTAAATTCTCTTAACCAAGCAGGTTTGAAATATGAAAAAACTGAAAACTATTCTCGAGAACTGTTCTTGAGAATTGTTCTCTGAAATGCAATCCAAGCATGGCCTTAGTTTTTGACTCTCCAAAAGACCATATTTGTTTAGCATGTTGTGTTCCTTGGTTTGTGACTATTTATATCAACCTTAATAAGATTTTAGGGAAGAGAATGTGAGAACATGTGAATTAATTTGTACCTAAATAAGATAGAAAGCAATTGAGAGATTGAGAGAAAATTATTCATTGTAATCTTTCATTTATTTCATGGTGGAATTTTTTTGGTGCTCTCCGTAAACGTAGCCCTAAGTTTTGGGTAAACCACATATATCTTATATTCTTATAGGTAATTGTTTTTTTATTCCTCAAGATTGCTTGTTTACTCCTTAGACATCATTGTTTTTAGGTTCCTATGCACCTCATTTTGTTCTGAACTTGTGTAGAACTACAATATACAGGCTGAAAGTCGTTTGCCTGCACAGATCAAATGATGTTTTGGTTTCAGTCTATATCATTGTTTTTAGGTTCCTATGCAGCTCATTTTGTTCTGAACTTGTGTAGAACTACAATATACAGGCTGAAAGTCGTTTGCCTGCACAGATCAAATGATGTTTTGGTTTCAGTCTATACAATCCCACCCATAATGTTCTCCTTAGAATTACTACCAATCTTTCAATCTTCTTCATCATATCAACACGTTTAAAATAAAGTAACTTATAGGCGGTTAAATTGATCTATCTTTCGGAATATCTCATTCTAATATTTGTTAACGTTACTCATAGTTAGCAGCAAGTTGTGACCATATTGATATTTGACTTTAATAATAATAATTTTGTAGAACAAGAATATTTGTAAAGTAATACTTTCTCAAATTATTCACTGATAAATAGAGGTGATCATTGTAATCAAAATCAAGAGAGATTATAATGAAATTTAGGTTGAACCGCGTATAATATTTTTTTGCTAAATTATATTCTTTTTTTTTTCAATAAATTAAACCACATATATTATTATTTCTTGTTTAATTTTTCTCTTCAATTTTTATATATTTTAACAATATTAGGGGTACTATTGGTACTATAAGAAGCAAGGTGGTGGTAATATACTCGATAATATCAATTCAAGTGAACTTACATTTAGCTGTCGTCATTATATTTTTAATTATTTTCTTAGAGAGGGGATACAAATGCTTTCCACGTTTTGTTGCTTTGCCCATTAAGAAATTTGGATTTTTACAATTATGGAGTTTGAAACTTTGCTCAAACATGACCACAAATAGCTTATCCAATGCCGGGTCCATGCAATATCTACAATGAGAACTCGAGCTCATTTCTTCATCATCATTAAGAAATTAATTTGGATATTGTATGCAATACTCAGGCTTATATTTTTCCATCTATTCACATGAATCAAATTCCTTTAGTTAATTTGGCTAAGAAATTTGGAGCATCCATACTTGTATTTCTCTAATTGTTCACTTGAATCAAATTGACTCGTCTTTTTCAACTTGAGAATAATTTCCCCATATTTTGAATTTGGAATATGGGGATACAAATACTTTTGATGGCTTGCTCGTTTTGTCCATCAAGAAAGTAGTCCTTTTGTAATTGTTCACACATCAAATTGAATGGTTTCTTATCCTTTGCTGGCTTTTGAAAAATGGTTTTTTTGGACATATATAGTTCATTATTGATGGAAAATAATCCAAAAAAGAAAGCTAGTTTTTCGTATTGGCATGGCAGGGACCATCAGTCACGGTTTACAGCACCCCGAACCATCGAGAAGGGTTTATGTACAACTTTCTTGCCACACAAACACGACTTTCTGAATAGAAACTTCCAAATCTTTTGGATTCATTTTTCTAAAAGTGAAAAAAAAAAAAAAAAAAAATATTTAATTTTGTTTATTTTTTTTCAAAAATTTTAATTTTGTTTGGCTTGCAAATTCTTAAAACCATTTTTGAAAAATTAATTTAAAAATGTATAATTTCAAATAAAAATATTTTGTCTCTGTTTTATATTTTTAATTTTTTAAAATTTACTTTCAAATAACTGCACTAATTTGTGAATGTTCCATACATTTCAGTTGCTTGAGATTTATCTTAGCACTTTTTTTTTTTTTCTTTTTTTCTTAGCACTTAATTGAACGTGTTAGTTACAAAGCATAAACACAAAATATTATTATATGGTCTGAGGCTACACAGTCATTACTAATCACACGATGACATACAATATAAAAATTTAATAAATTTGACACATTCGATTACACGAGAGGGTGACTATTGGCACCCAACTAAATATTAGGAACACTTTATTAACTATTATTAAGACCAAGAGTGTGATACCACAAATTTTTTGATAAGTGCATGATATCACAATTCACACAACTTAGTATTCATTGTCGTTTACCTATCATTTTAAACCCTAAATTGCCAACAAAAAAGTCTTTCAAACAAATATTACCAACTAAAACACAAGTATAAGGAAGAAGAATCATCAGCAAACAAATTAACAAAATCTAAAAGCGAACATCAAACTTTTTTTTACCCTATTTTTAAGTATTGTGCGCCTACTTCAGCTAGAGATATATCATGGGTGTTTCATTCTTAAAATACAAATATATATATATATACTACTTTAGCTTGAATGGTGCGATCTCTTTCTTTCAAAGAGAGTTATTAGAGCATCGCTAAAAGAGTATGTTTTGGGTATGACTGAATGAGTGTATGTGTTAGCTTTAACTTTTTTTTAACAAATATATATATATATATATATATATATATATATATATATATATATAAAAGGTAACATTTTTAACTCATATTTTATTGAATTTGTCAGCCCACTACTAAAAGCATTGATATATAAAATATTAATATTAGAGCATCAATAGATTTTTTTTTTTTTTTTGTACGCATCATTTACGTTAAATGAGTGACAAGGAAAGTTTATGTATTTTTATAAAAAAAAATTAATAAATTACACACATTAAATTATGTGTGTGTGTAAATTGAGGAGCCAAATTGGGCCCAGTGGCACGTGCCCCCCAACCAGGGGCGGAGGGAGGGGTGGGCCAGCAGGGGCCTGGCCCCCCCCAAAAAAATTTTTTTTTTTTATTAGTATAAACATAAAATATATATATATATATATATATATATATATATATATATAGGGGGGGCCAGTGTACTAATAGGGGGGGCTAGTGTACTAATATATATATATATTAGTACCGCCCCCCCCCCCCCCCCCCCCCCACCCCCTCTTGCCTTGCCCTAACCCTCTTTTCTTTACCTTCTCCTCCGCTGAGACTGTTTGTAGGAATTGATGAATTCATTGAATTGGTACACTACTTAGCCTCTTGATCTTCACATTTTTCGATTTCTCTCTTCGTCAGACTCTCAAATCATGATTGATTACCTGGTAATTCCAATTTCCACAGAGAACTCACATCCATTATAATTTATTCTGTTATTTTTTCTTTTTCAATTGATACTTTGATAGTGTTTTTGTTTTACGTAACCGTTTACTGGCCCGTTTGTTCAATATTTTTCAAATCTTGTTTGGTATACAAATTTTGCATAGCTATTTCATCAAAGTCTAGGGCAGTAGGGCATTGTTCACTTGTTCTTAGCACACAATCTTGATGTTTGCTTTGTTGAATTCATGTATTCTGCCTTTTATTTGTAGGTAAATGACAGCATTAGTTAGCATATATAGATAAAATGAAGGAGTTTAAATGTTTAATCGGACCCACTGTGGGACTTTGAGATTGTTTTAGAATTTAGACTTGAGTCTTGAATTGCTTTATTGTCCACTATCCATAAATCTTGCTTTATTAAATTATTGTCCACTGACCACTGTCCACAAATTTTGGAAGCAATTTTGTTATTTCTCTTACCAACTTTATTGTCCACTGTCCATAAATCTTGCTTTATTGTCCACTGTCCACAAATTTTGGAAGCAATTTTATTATTTCTCTTACCAATTTCTCGATGGTACTGATGTTTATAACTTTTTACATCTCAGGAGTAAAACTGCATAATATTCCGAGGGAAACTATCATGGACTGACACGAAGGCTTTGAAAATCTTAATTGGTACACACTTTTTTCTTCTAAAACTTATCTTTTCCTATTTTTTCTGAAATTCACTTGAAATTAGTCATGTAAATGTTGCTATATATACAAATTCTAATCTCACTTCACAAGCGAACAATTTATTTTTTAAACACTTCACAGGCGCACGATTTATTTTTTAGACACTGCACAGATACACAATTGTGGGTGATAACTTTTTTATATTTTAAATTAGTTGTTTTATATGCAACGAGGGTGTAATATTATTTTTACTCAATTATGCTTATTAGGAATTTAGGATCGGTGGTTTAAATTACAATGTAAAACCCTCGGTATTAAAAGGTTATATTTGAATTACCCTCTTTAGGTACAGTGTTATACGATGGTGAAGCCAAAAAGAACTATTGATTGTTTTTTTCAAAAAAATGATGTGCCTTCCGTGACTTCCGCCTCTAATGTCGATGTTTCGATTCATGATAACCAGCATCCTTCAAAATCTCTAAGAGTTGAACATACAAAAGTTGATCCTACCTTTTTAGAACGTGATCCGGGATTACGTTGTCAAATATGGGATTATCCTGTTGACGAACGTGATGAAGTTCGACGAGCTTATATCAAAGCGAAACCATATCAAATTGTGCTTTCAGTATATCCGCTTTCTGGATCGGAAAAGCATCGTCGTCGATTTCAATTATCTTGGTTTAAATTATTTCCTACCTGGTTAGAGTATTCTCCTTCAAAGGATGCTGCATATTGCTTACCTTGCTTTCTTTTTGGAGTGAAACCAACGGGGCGTCCTGGAACCAATGCATTTACTAGTGAAGGATTTCGAAGTTGGAAGAAAGTTAATGATGGCAATAGGTGTGCTTTCTTAAATCATGTGGGAGGAAGTCCATGTTCTGCTCATAGCATTGCTGAGAGAGCATGTAAGGACTTAATGAGTCAACCTTATCATATTGATACAATAATGGTTAGACAAACTTCCGAACAAGTTTCAAATAATCGATTGAGATTAAAGGTCACAATTGATGCGGTCCGATGGCTTACTTATCAAGCTTGTGCTTTTAGAGGGCATGATGAATCCCTTCAATCAAGTAATCGAGGCAATTTCATTGAAATGGTAAAGGCTTTTGCGTCATATAATGATGATGTCGCTAGAATTGTTCTTGAAAATGCTCCAAAAAATGCCAAGTATACCTCGCCACAAATTCAAAAGGAGATTTTGCATATTGTTTCTAGAAAAGTGAGAAGTATTCTTGTTGATGAAGCTCGTGATGAATCTAAAAGAGAGCAAATGGCTCTCGTTTTAAGATACGTTGATAAGGATGGTTTTTTACAAGAACGTTTTTTTGATCTTGTGCATGTCAAAGATACAACTTCATTGAATTTAAAAAAAGATCTTTGTGCGGTTCTTTCTCACTATAATCTTGATATTCACAATCTCCGAGGTCAAGGTTATGATGGTACTAGCAATATGCGTGGTGAATGGAATGGTTTGCAAGCATTATTTCTTAATGATTGTCCTTATACATATTATGTGCATTGCTTAGCTCATTGACTATAACTAGCATTAGTTGCCGCATCTAGAGAAGTAATCGTCGTCCATCAATTCTTTTCAAACTTGAACTTCATTATCAATAACATCGGAGCTTCTTGCAAACGAACTGATGAATTACATTCTGCTTAAGTTATGGAAATTGCCCATTTAATAGATCTTGATGAACTTGAAACCGGTCGAGGAGCTAATCAAATTGGTAACTTGCAACGACCTGGAGATACTCGTTGGAGCTCCCATTTTGATTCTGTTTGTAGTTTGATAAGGTTATTTGGTCCAACATGTTCAGTTCTTAACAACCTTGTTGAAGATGGATGTAATTACAAGATCCAGGGAGATACTGATACTGCTTTTAATACTCTTAGATCATTTTAGTTTATGTTTATTTTGCATTTGATAAAAGATATCATGGGAATAACTAATATCCTTTGTTAAGCTTTGCAACAAAAAAATCAAGACATCGTAAATACTATGCAATTGGTTTTGAGTACAAAACAAATCATTCTGAAATTGAGAGAAAATGGTTGGAACAAGTTACTTGATATTGTTAAATCATTTTGTGAGTGCCACAACATTGATGTGCCTGATTTGAGTGTTCCTTATACCAAAAAAATTAAGGGTCAGTCACGTCACCCACAAGAGAATATTACACTTGAGCACCACTATCGGATTGATATATTTTATGGCACAATTGATTCACAATTGCAGGAGTTGAATAACAGATTTAGTGAAAAGGCAATGAAACTTATTACTCTCAGCTCAGCTTTGGATCCTAGAGATGGTTACAAGTTTTTTAACGTTGAAGACATTTGCACGCTTGTAGATGAATTTTATCCTCAAGATTTCACGGACCAAGAGAGGATTATGTTGACATTCCAATTGCAACATTATGAGGATGAAATGCCTATTCATTCATATTTGAAAAATATGTCAATGATTTCTGAACTATGTAGAGGATTAGTGGAAACAAAGAAGTCAAAAATCTACTTTTTGATTAATAGGTTGATTCGTCTTATCTTGACTCTTCCCGTTAACACGGCAACTACAAAAAGGGCATTTTCAACTATGAAACTTGTCAAAACACAACTGCGCAACAGGATGGAGGATGAGTTTCTTGCAGATTACTTGAGTGTCAGTATTGAAAAAGAAATTGCTCAGACTTTTAGTACATATTCAATTATAGATGATTTTTCTTCTCTAAAAGATCGTCGAGCTCAGCTTTTGTAGTTGTTGTTTGGTCTTTCAGGTTTCTTTTTGTATTTATCTATGTCATATTTGACTAGATATAGACCAAGTATTATTTTGTAAACAAATTGGCCAAATTTTGGCTAAATATATTTTTGTATGCATCTAATCGATCATGAAGTACTTTTGACTTTAAATATTATTATATTGTATTAGTAAAATTGTTCGGCCCCCCCTACATTGAATCCTGGCTCTGCCCCTGCCCCCAACCCCTCCAATGTGGCTCCGTTCGCTATATGTATACCCATGCCATCTCCCTTCTATGTCAAGGCAACTCTTCCTAGTAGCTGACAGCCTTTCCCATCTTTTCTTTTTTGGTATGTAAGTATTTTCCATCTCCAACCTTTTTCTTTTCTATGTTTTATTTTTCCCTATTGATCCTCGAAAAGTTACATATCAGCAGTAAATTATATATAGCCAGAGGTGAGTAAGCAGTAGTTCTTCATCTTCAAGTATGCTTTTCTTGAGTTGTTGGTGTCTTCACGATAAGCTCCCAAGGATTATTATTTGATTGAACTAATGGAAGCACACCTTCAATAAATAAGTACGGTGTCTAGTGACCTACTGACACACTTGTATAGTATATAACTACGTGACAAAAGAAATAATAAGGTAAAAGGTTAAGATGTATTGTTTGTTTAAGAAATAATAATAAGGTAAACATATACCATCATCTTCACTGAGGTTTTAAGTAATTAATGGTCTCTGAATTATATACTTTTGAAACATGTATTGTTTTATTTTTATTTTTTTAAGGTACAAATTGTACTCTAGTCTAATGGTACGATCTCTATATATCTCCTTAAGAGTTCAAGTTCCATTAATGACATATTATGAACCATGAGTGTTTTATTTAACTTTGGAAAAAATATATATATTGACATTTTCTATTGAGAATATTCTACAATATATATACCAAAAATGCCTTTAAATATATATATTTTTTGGATGGAATGCCTTTAAATATATTAAAAGGACACAATTGCCCGAATTTAAAAGTGTTGTGATATGCTGACCAAAAGTCTAAATATGGAATGTGAGATAGTATTGTCTCCAAACTTCTATCCCATATAAAAAGAAAAACTAAATTCATTTGCAGTTCCACCCATGCACATCCATAAATACTTCACTCTTCATTCCTTTGGTAAGTGGTTCATTAACTAATTAAGGATCCATATTCCTCAGTAATGAATTATGCCTTTCTACTTTTTCTCAAATTGCATACTTGCTGTGACAACCTTGGATTTTTCAACCCAATATGTCCTGTGATGACCCGAAGTGGATCCAAAATGCGGAAGCAAAAGAAAAAAGGTGACTTTTAGAGATGTACGTCATCCCTAATGCACCAAAATAACTCCACACGAAGCTATGGAACTCAAATTAGCCAAGCAATGAAGCAAGAATGCCAAATCCGAGGAGAAATGAACCAAGAGTAAAATGGTCATTTCATAGAGAAAAAGATGCTACCAATCATACCATTATAAAGACAACAAAAAATCATCAAGAATAGACTCAAGAATCGCATGATTCGGAGTCCGGACGATAAAGATATCAAGTTCTGAAGTTAAAAGAAGGGAGACCCTATCCTGGTTTGAACCAAAAACATACACTACCTTACTAAAACTTGAATATCTTGAGCTACAAGAAGAATATCAAGCTCTAATTGGCACCATTGGAAAGCTTATTTCAACCCGGTCAATTTAGACTCAAGAATTGACTAATTCGGAGTTAAAACGAAGAAGATATGATAGTTTGAAGTCAGAGGTACAGTGCTGAACCAAGAGACACACACACACACCCGTGAACAGTACCATGAGCGCTCGTAATTAGCCCGAAGAGTTCTGTCCAAAATTGGAGCGCTCGTACGCCCCTTGGAGCACTCGTGTTGCTGTAGGCTGCACTTTAAATGTAATTTTGAGGACTTTCTGGGCCTTTTTGAAAAAAACACAAAGAAGAAACCCCCCTCAAAATCATGTTTTCTAGCCAACCATGTGAAAAGAAAACTTTATTTTTCACGTGAAAACCCCAAAATGCCCTTATGCTCAGTTTAGGCTCAAAACGGCAAAAATGTGAGTTTGCACCAAACATACATTTGACCCCAAATGCACTTCTAGGCTGAAACGAATATGCGTGCAAACGTAATAAGTGATTTTGAGCACGCGAGAATGGTCCGCGGCTCCCGGAAATGGCCGATACAAAATCCGACCCCCCGACGACTAAGAAGGCGAAAATGAACTTGAAATGAAAATTTTGAAAACCAAAATTAACAAATGATTGGGAATTACCGTTTGGCCCTTGGCCATACTTCATACATGATTAATGAATACTAATGAATGAATCTCATACACAATGCACACTCCGGTGCAAAATAACGTACTAAAATGCAAAATTTTCATATATTATCATTAAAGGAAAAATTTAACATCTATGACATATATGTGATTTCAAAAGAAGTTTGGCCCTTGGCCTCATGTCATATACATAAAATGAGAATAAAAAAGTGTGCTTAGGCACACACTACAAGTTTAGAATTAAATATACACATTTGACAAATAAGGTTACAAATGGCATTCCAAGCCAACTTTCACAAAGATGGAAACCTCCAAGTTCACAAACCATCCAAGCATAATGAGAGTCTCAATTTTAATTCCTGTACCTGAAAAATGTCCCCACAACGTGAGTGAGTAACATAAAGCTACTCGTAGAAGATGAGCATGTATCGACCTAACTTTTTATAATTTTATTACCTTAAGGTAAAATATGTTAAAGGGGCTCATGCCACCTAACGTCTATGTCAAAGTGTGACCCAGGGAGCATCCTAAGCTACCTAAGATCATTTCTAGCACAAATCACATCATTCGTGCAATTCAAGTAACATGGAAGCATGCTATACAAAGCAACAAGATGTAGATTCTCAAGGTTACTAACTTGAAATCTAAAATGCTAAAACAACTATAGTGGATCATGCCACCTAAAGTCTATGTTCCAAATGAATCTATAGGATCATTCCAAAGTCACATTTGAATAACAAGGCATAAATCACAATATCAACGCAATTAACCAACATAAAAGCATGCTACACAAGTATCAAGATATAGATTCTCAAGGTTACCATCTTGAAATCTAAAATGCAATAACAACTAAATATAACAATTTAGTACAATTAGAATTTCTAATACCACACATCAAGACATAGATTCTATAAGTTATCAACTTGAAATCTAAAAGTGTGAAAACAACTAAATATAACAATTTAGTATGGATGTACTTAACAACATCAAATCGCCAATAGCCAAAACCACAAGTCACAATTAAACATGATTGTCAACTTGGAATTGAATGCGAAATCAAATAGTGGAAGACTTGGACATCACATCTCGAATTTTCGCCGAGAACTAAATGGTTATTTCGAGCATTAACTCGCTGGGAAGACCACTCTAGTGCACACTATCTCAATTGGAGAGAACTCATACCTCCCGCACTAGAGCCAAACTCTAGCCATGTCACTTGTAACAATGTCCCAAGACTCCAAGATAATTAAATAAGTTCACAACTTATACGTAATTTATATAATGCACGAAAACCACCTTTCATGCACAAGTAGGTTGAAACCACACAATCAATGCCTTAGAGTTTCAATTCTAAAATGGCATATATAATGTCAATTACAAAGTGTGCAATTCATTACACATGGTATCAATATATTCCATAAAGAAAACATGTTTTCATGAATATAAATATAACAACAAAGTTGTCCAATGCTCAAAACACAACAAAGTGAATACATAACAAGTTCAAGTCCATGATTTGAATATAGAAACAACTTCTAAAATACCAATAGATCCATAGAGCCATTAAATAGAATTTAATTAAACAAGATAATCAAATTCTCTATATTTCAAATCAAATTCGAATAACCTCAAATTAATATATGTTAAACAACATAGCATGCTCATTACATATATCAAATCAAAAGTGTCAAATGAGCAAGATAGCATCATATAGAATTTAATTAATTTAAATTAATCAAATCTCTAGATTTCAAAAGTTATTCAAATGATCCCAAATTAATATATATCAAGCACCAAATCATGGTCATACCATATTTCAAGTCTAAAATGGAATACAAG